ATATAGAACTTACCAAATGTCAGGCACTGTTTTTAAGTGCTTTTTATAGATAATATCTCATTTAACTTCATAACATTCCACTAAGTATGGACTTTCTTTAGCCCCACTTTAGAGATGAATAAACTGAGATGCTGAGAGATGAAGTAACTCGCCCCATGTTAGTAAAGTGGTAAAGTAAGAAATTAAATCTAGACAATCTGCCTCAAGCATTCAGGTTTATAACCACCACACTATGCCTACTTTCAAAAATAAAACTTATCTTCCTCCCTCCTCTATTCATTTTCTTTTCAGTAATCTGTTCAGTCATCTCAGCCAGAAACCTGTGTCATACTTGACCTTTCCTCTTTATTCCCACATTCTACTGATCATTACAAAAATAGAACTCAGTAACAACAACAACAACAACAGCCTCTTGCCAGTATTGTTCCCTACTGTACTTCTAGAGCATAGTACAGTGCCAGACACTTAGTAGGTGCTCAATAAATACATGTTTGAAACAATGTGTTAGTACAGAGTCTTGTATCATGTGTCAGACAAAGCAGAATTCCACTCTTCTTTTCAATGTTGCTGCCTCTAATACTGCTGTGAGATCCTCAAACCTTAAGAAAAGTGGAGATGTAGTTTGGGTGTTTGAGAATTCTTATTTAAATCAGATCTGAATTGTATTTCTTCACAGAAAGTTTAAGAGTTAACTGACAGCAAAAATAAAAAAAAAATTCAAAATGATGAGGTAGAGGGCTGACCAGGCTTCTTCTGTCCTTGACTGATGCTTTTTTCTTGGAGATTAGTAAATACAAACTCTTGCCTACTGCTTCTCCCTTGGCAATCTGCCTTCAATTTTCTCTCCCTTTCCTTCCTTCCATCTTTCCCCTCCCAGGCCTGACCAACTTTAGCTTCTAGCCCAATGTCAGTAATATCATTCTTTCCTTTTCTGCTTCTCGTGGCTGTCACATCAAACTCTAGGCTAAATAGTTATCTCTAGATGAGAGTTAGGAGGAAAGTTGACTTTCTCGGCCTCTGAAACAGTTACAGTCTAGGAAAAGAAGAGCTAACATATATATGTGTCTCTGGCTGGGAGTAGTACTGCCCTTGAACCTACAGTCCTCACAATTACTTTACATCTAGCAATAACTACTTAGAAATTCTTGGCTCAGTCTGGAGTCAAATTTCTCCTTCCCTTCAAACAATTTCCTTGTCCTACTCCCCTTCCTTTGTTTGAAGCAAGTAAAATAGGGACAGTCAGCGGATTTCCTCTAGTAAATGAATTCCAGGATCAACATGTATTGTCCCCATTTTTCATGAACATGATCTTAGAGCTCCCCCCACCCCCGACTCTTTGAGTGCATTCTTGGTTCCAGTATTAAGGACTTGGAAATGAAGGGGCATATGACTGTCATGTCAAAAACGAGGTTGGAATCTTTGAATTCCAATGCTGGATGGGACAATGAACCTGTTCCCTTTCAAAGGGATTGTGGAAATAATTAAGAATATTTTCTCTTGATTGGTATTTGATGGAGAATGTATACACTTGAGAATGAGAGGTGAAAGGATAAATAAAATAAATAATCAAGCTGGGCCCAAAAAAATACAGGTGGAAAATTAAGTCTAACAGGACTAGGGTCACAATTTAAGGGTCTAGAACATTTAGATTCATACAAGCAGTAATTGAAATTCCAAGGACAAGGGATATCTTGATTCTAAGTCCCTTTACTGTAAACACATCCAAATCTGCAGGCATATGCCATGTCTTGTAACAGGGCAAATATGTTTAGGTCACTGTGTGACCTTTAGTCAGTCTCTTTTCCTCATAGACCCCAGTTATCCAATATGCCAGAATGAAGGTGAATTGAGTCTAAATGGTTCTTGTTTTTCTTTCAGCACTGACTTTTTGTAGCTGTTTAAGTCTACAGGATTCTTATCCATTCAATAAGTATTTTTTGAGTGCCTCTTGGGTGTTATATACCATGCCAGGTAGTGAACAAGGTACTACTTTTTTAAGGATATTGGTATAAAGGTCTCTTTATTTCTGGAACTTCTTGGTTTTCCTGAGAATGGTTTTAGAGCTCCACGTAGACAGTGAAAGCTCAGAACCAAATACCTACTACTCTTTTCAGAGCCATGAGTCCTGTTGTTTTAAATGCATTCTCAGCCACCTGGGAGTGATAATTGTCCTCTTTCTCACTATTATTTTATCATTCTTCTGAATCACAAACATGTTAAAGAGGTCCCAAATGACTCATAAAGCTAGTTTCTGCATAATTATTTCAAATAGATACTTCGTTCATAATAAAAGAGGTTGGTGCTCATTTAGGGCTTACTCTTTGCCAGGTGTTTTAATGCAGAAACTCATTAAATCCTCATAGCAATTTGAAGAAATAGTATTGTTAATTTTATTTCAAAGAAAAGGCAAAGTGGTGCTCTAAATTAAAAGATATGCTCAAGGTCACACAGCTAGGTACCAGTGAAGAAGAATTATGCCAGAATCCAAAACTCTGTGAAGCTCCATGATTATGCCATGCTTTCTCTTATTCTCAGAGACAAGAGAGGTTTTTGGTGTAACTACTTTGTTCAAGGGCCCTGTAATAAGTGTTTTACATTTATCATCTTGTTTAATCCTCATAATTTAATTAGGTAGTTAGTGTTATCCACATTTGAAATAGTAAAAACAAGTCAGACTGATCAGTGGACTTGACAAAGGCCACACAGTTAATGGAAGAGCTGGGGTTTGGACTCAGACTTATCTAAATCTAAAGCCAGGATCTTGTTTTCTGATAACTGTGGTCTCATTCCCAAGCATTCTCTTAGCTATGGCATGAGCATTCCAACTCAAATTATCATTTCCTTTGGAGTCTGTGGTCAGCTCCTCTGACATGCTCCAAGAAAATTTATGTAAAATTCATCAGAAAGGCTTGGAAAGTGGCCTGAGATGCCCCAGGATGACCTCACGAAGTAGGACAAGTTTCCCTAGATCTAAGATGGTGAATGAAAGTGTTTATTTTCTAGACTCATCAAGGCACTTCTTGAGCCTGGTGGCAAGGCAAGGGCTTCCAGAACAGCAACTAGAAAGAGCCTCCTAGGTCATGTTCAGGCTGTTTTTGGAACTTCCCACTGGGGTTTTCCATGTTTGAGAGCATGACCTCTGGAACCTTTGCATAAGTTAAAATCTTATCTCTGCCAGTTGCCTGCTTTGAGACCTTGAGCAAGTTGCTTAACCCCTCTGTGCCTTAATCTTCTCATCTTTGAACTGGGATAACAATAGTACCTATGTCCTAGAGTTTTATAAAGAACAGGAATAAAAATCACATTTCAGAATAGTTATGAGGGTAAAATGAGACCTTGTGCACAAAAGTGCTTCATAGACTGATCTGGAAGCAGAGAGTACAGCCTTCCCCTCATCTAGTGAAGAGAAACTGCTAAGATTCATGATGCTCCTCAGGTTCAGATCCTTAAGAGAATAGATTAGTGGGATTGGTACAACCATTATGGAAAACAGTATGGAAATTCCTCAGAAACTAAGAATTGATCTACCATATGATCCAGAAGTCTCTCTACTGGGTATTTACTCCAAAGACTTGAAAACCCATATCCAAAAAGATATTTGCACACCGATGTTCATAGCAACATTATTCACAGTGGCCAGGACATGGAAATGACCAAAGTATCCTACAAGAGATGATTAGATAAAGAAGCTGTGGAATATTATTCAACCATAAAAAAAGATGAAATACTGCCATTTGCAACAACTTGGATGGCCCTTGAGATAATCATGTTAAGCAAAATAAGCCAGACCGAAAAAGTTGAAAATCACATGATATCACTTATATGTGGGATATTAACCTAAAAGTAATAAATGAACAGGACAAACAAACAGAGACTCATGGCCATGGACTATAGACTAGAGTTACCAGAGGGGAGTGGGGAAGGAGGTGGTAAATGGGGTAAAAGCAGTCAAA